TTTTCAATCAGATAAACTCTCACATTGAGAGAAAAATCGGGATGCTCCTATGTTTTGGAAGTGAAACCTTGACGCTATAAACGCAGTCGTTTGTTGTCGACCACTTTACATTTAATTCAACCATTACCATATATACCGATTGTTATGATCAGAGTGGGACTGGTTCCACAGCAGTGCTTTGTTGAACACCCCTTTCTAGGTCCATTGATTTTGTATCGACAAAAAATAATCGCTATCAGAAGAATACAAACTGTAGTCATTGCAACCAAAACTTGCTTCGGCAGTGTGTTGATGGTGGCAAACGTATTGGTGGATACGAACTGTGCGTGTACTAGGCATACAAACTTTACCTGTTACAAGGTGAGAATTAATAATATAAATTCACCTTGTTGCATATTACTATCATCATTATGTTGAAATACTTACTGTTCCTTGAAGTCTGTTTATTATGTGTTCAAAGTTTCCAATAGTTTTATTTTCAACGTTAATTCATTAAATACTGTTAATACTCGGTGTAAACCACTTTTTAAGTTGACTATTTTTCCTCAAAATTATTATCAAGTATGTATATATTTCACATTAATTTTATTATATTTACCATAAACAACACGCGGTAAAAGAGCGCCGTCCGCGAAGCTCGAGAAAAGGACAATACAAATACGTATCTCATGGTGTTTTGTGCTAAGACGTATCCCGACGTTGAGTGCTTCTCGCCGCTATCTATAGGGCCATATTGCTATCCCATAAAATAACCTTGCCATGTCATCTTCAACCATCACACCTATAGTCCACTTCCCAGGTATCCAGGTAAATGCGATGTCTTTTATTTTTATTGGGTTATCATACAAATTCCAATATTTCATGTGTTCAATGAACATTTTTGGTCCTTCGAGCCAGATTGACTCGGTAATGATAGTTTTTCTCGATAATATCTTATTAAATTTCATTCGAATTCATTTGTGATACATGAATCTTCAATCGATGAATAAAAGTCTCTCTGTTCATCACCCATCACTATATCTCTTTTTCTTCCATTTGTTTTACCTTTTTTATAAACAAATTTTCGCTATTCGGGTATTTGTTTATATACAAAACAATAAATTGAACTGGTTGTCGGTGAGTCTGACAACCACAATAGATCCAGGGAACTATACGAACTCATAGCCGCCCTTCACCAAAACGACTATCCCGTCTCCCAAATACAAAGATCCATCCAACGACAGCAAACATAACCCCACCCCACGAGTTACCCGAGGAACAGACCAACCAGACAAAAGCTTTTCTCCCCTACATCCACGAAGTCACTGACAAAGTGAGCCAAATTCTGAAGAAACATAACGTAAAGACAGTATTCACAGCCAACAGCCAAATCTCCACTATGTTAAGAACACCCAAGGACACGATACTCAATGAAGCACAGGGCTTATACGAAATACCATGTTCAAACTGCCCCAGAACTTACATCGACCAGACCAATAGAAGAATTTCCAACAGAGCCTATGAACATGAACTAGCTGTTCGCAAATCAGATCCAGCATCATCTCTCTTCAAACACCACCAGGAAACAGGCCACATAATAAGCTTCGAAAACACCAAGACCATTGCTACGGAGAAAAATCTTCAGGCCAGGATAATTCGGGAAGCAGTCGAAATTGAAAAACGCCCTAACTGCCTTAACAAACGAGATGATTCGCACAGACTACCACAAACATAGAGGACATTGATGTCACGCGAGATACCTGAAAATAACTCAGGTACCCGGTCCGGCAAACCAGATACCTGCTACAACAACATAAATATGGGCCCCGAACAACAGAGTGACCAGTACGAACTTAGAGTGGAACACAGCAAACATAGAACTAGTAACGAGACTCGGGGACAAGGGAGATTACGACCTCGTCCTCGAGTCATGTAAGTACAAATCTAAGTGATTCTTGAGAATGGCTCCAAAGCAGGAGTCGAAACGATGAAAATTACAGACACGGTTCAACCTGGATAACAGTATATCATAAATATACTGCCCAAACGACTTTTGGTAATAACGCCTGGACATTTTCTGACCCTGGCCCCTCCAAGTACTTCTTACAGAAATAGGATTTCTCTGACAAAACATAGTAGATGTAATGAGAACTACTCAAAAATACAAAAAATGTAAGGAAGTACTCTCTTCATGTGAGGAACATGGAACGAAAGTGTCTAGGTTTGGGGTACATCAACCCCATTAAATAATCTATCATAATCAGAATATTTTTTTCATTACTTTTTGTGTGACATTATATTTCAGATCAACGTTATTCAAAAAAGAGATTTTTCTTCTCAATGACATTTCATTACGGAAGACCCTTCCGACAGTTATTTCCATAAATGGAATTGAATCAGTCGGTTAAGAAACCCCAATTGTGCAAATTAGAACTTGTGAAAAAATACTTTTTTAGTTTTCTTCTGAAAACGAAAATATGTTTTTCCGTTAACCAGCTGTCGCACCTCTATTAACGACAACCCTCAGAAGTCGAAACTTGTGCGAGCTAAGGATTAACGAGGTCTTATCTTTCACCCTGTGATCATTCCCATATTGATTCCAATTTAAGAGCCACCGCAGTTGTCGGTTGATTGGTCAAACCACCAACACTGGCATAAAAAATTGGCAAGTTGACTTGGGTGTCACACCAATAGGTGGTTCCACTTATGTTTCGCTTGCGTTTACGCAGCTATTTTCATCAAGTACTTTCTTGGTTTTTCTCATTTTGTCTTCAATCGAGGACCGCATGCCCGGTACTGACGATTCCTACTCCGACCCCGGAGTATGCTTGTGGAATTGTTTCCTGGCTCTGTCTGCAGGTGACGCAGTGGACATCCCACTGAATCAACTGCAGAGAGATCAGAATCTCTCTAGCTGACTAGCTGGAATTATTTTCATTTGGTCGTGATACGGTTCACACCGTTCTGAAGAGACCATGCCCGGTACTGATGATGGGACAATCACCTCGAACCGGTCTATCGGTTGGTCGGATCGACCAAACGAAAATAATTTCTGCTTTTCATAGTAGGAAATAATTTGCGACGAATCTTCCAAATTGAAGACGCTGCACAGGTGCCTGATGGTTTTACTTCAACTCTCTGCGCGGCACTAGCTGGGTGGGTTGTTTGTTTTTCTGTTGGGTATCTGCCACACGTACCTACGAAGTCGTAGGTCTGCATGAGAGGAAAGGGGCAACCCAGAGCATGTCACAATGCACCTCTCCGGAATAATAAATATAAAAAATTGTTTTGGTTTACATTTTCTCAATAACGGAAGACATGTAAAAAACAAAAAAAATAGGCTTGAAGTTTCAAAAGTTGGTAGGTTTATGGAATTCTATGTACAGAACATGTGTGTAGCCTTAGGAAACTTACTAGCATTTATCTTTTCGCACTGAAACTATTTTGTACTAGGTACAAATCCCAAATTTTCAACAGCAAACTACTCTTATGTTAATACCTATCTTCGATGCCGACTTGTAGTAGATATAGAGCGGAAATATTTTGGGAAAATGAAACATTCACATACGTTCAGAGGTAAATCCAGTGACTATAAATTCAAATGGCCATAGAAGCACACGCAGCAGTGAAGATAAAGAAAATTTATATTCATATAGTGAATCATTATATAACACTTTAATGAACTGTACTACTACCTATAATACTAAATAAAATATGAAAAGAAATTACAAAGAAGTCATGTTCCATTTGCTTTCCTATATAAAAATAATTATAGGCACGACACTGGCCGTCAAGGGGCTTATCGTAATCAAATAGTAATTTGGTTGGGAGAGTCCATACCTGCGCGATCGCTCGCTATCAGCCGTGGCGTGTACTGTACTTGTTTAGATTTGATTATTGAATTCACCCAATATACCACTGATTTGAGCAGCTCTTTGATAAAAGTAGAACCTCAATTCGAATATACTGAAAAATAAATGGGTATGTCGAAAAAATGCATTTCACAGTTTTCGAGCCGAAGAAGTTAAAATATTGTTTAATTTGAGTCAGTTCTCATTTGTTGTGATTGTAGTGATAGAAACGTCTATGATTTTTTTACGAAATTAAAGCCGGTCGGGCACTGTCCCCTAAGCTCAGACACATTCGAGATGGTGCGCCAGCATCATTAACCAGTGACCACCCCTCATACCATATGGTAAGTGATCATTTGGGACAAGAATCCTGTATCCATAGGTTACTACTCGTTTTTTTTTAGATGGCACTGGTTGGTCCCTGTCCGCCCCCACAAAACCCCGATACATTCGAGACCGTGCACCAGCATTCCAGAAGGTGTCAAGAACAACACCTTCTGCAATTGTCCGGCCAAGATTTCTGCCCTTATGCAGCAAGCCGGCATAGTCTTGAGATTCGAAAGTAGAGAGGCCATCATTTCACCAGTGACTTCAATAATCAGAACAACCATCTTGACAAAATGGTGTAGACGGAGTCTGCGAAATTCGAAGAAAAAAATCTTCATATTTCATCCGTTGTTTCCCCCTTTTCGGACGTTATTTGTCACACCGGGTGCCGAAAACTTCACGACAAATATCGTCTTGCTCTGAGGAAAACAATATCAGGCGTATTAACTTGTATGGGCTTGACGGTGAGGAATGAATAGTTCCAGTTGACAAAATATCGGTTTTGAATAAAACATTTGCAGTTCAAATTTCGATATTGAAGAAGCAAACAAACCCCTTTGTGTATCCAAGCATATTCATCAGAACCGGTTCAATGATTATTAATAGTATTCGACACAATTGACCTTTTTGGCCTTTTGTTTCACATGCCAATTATTGTCCTCGCCATAGTAATGTTCATTTATTTCATGCTGACCGATAACATACTCGTAAATGAACTAGAAGAAGTAATAGCAGTTCTGGAAATTATGGCCAATTGATAACGGTGAAATAATAATAAAAAGATGAATGTGTTTTGTTTCTTTGCATTTCCCTACCTATTACAAATTAAAAAAAAATCAAAAGTTGCTTGCATATTTTATTTCTTCTAAAAATTTATATGTAAAAAACAGAATAAATGGTATGTATTTATATAACAGCATGATAAAATCACGTCTCTTCAATGTTTGTACGATTCTAGATTTTTATAAATTTTTACAGAAATCGCCGGTAAAATCCATTGTAATAAAAAATGTCGCAAACAATATAAAATAAAAGTTTTTGTAATGAACAACTAGTATCCAGCAAATAGTAACAACAAAAACTGCATCCAATTATAAAAAAATCAAGATTATCAAATAATTATAACCTCAAAAAAAGTTCATAGCCAGGTCAATAAAAAAAATTCACAGCCCTGTTATTTAAACTTGCCTTTCGGTAATTTCATAAAATGGAGGACTTATTTTGGGATGGTCAGGCTAGCCAAAATAACCCACGAACTAATAACTATGTAATTACGTTTATCTCATTAAATCAATTGTGTCGGTCAGATATGAATGAATACAAAAAAAAATAAATTAAGAGTAGTATTCGAAATAATTATTCTGGCGACAAAAAAGACATTAGTAGTATGTACATATTGTGAGAATTAGGAAGGTTCAAGTATGATACCCGTATCATAACACTGAAGATACATTTTTATTCATTCTTCATTTGGGACCACTATTATTATATTGGGGTACTGGTATCTAGTTGGCGTTGAGAGGATTTCGCAAATACAAACTACTGTTACAAATGTGATGTTTCATAAAAAGGTTGTTGTTAACATCCATGAGTCGAGTGGTATAAAAGTGTGATTCTGAAGATCAATTTTTGTGACCACAAAGCAAATGTTGATGCTCTTTTCAAAGTTCATCACAATTTGAGAATGAGAAAACTTTTCACCAAATTTATATCAAAATACTGAACCCAATATATTTGTTCATGTTGTGGTTATCAAGAAGATTCCCAAACCATTTCAGATCGGCTTGTTTCAGAAATCGAAAAAATATTCGAATGAGAAAATATTTTCCACGAACGAAAATCCATGCAAGCTGATGAGATTATAGTGAATGAGAAAGGTGTGTGAAATGTGAATATAGTAGTCGATTCATCAACCAGTATCCAAGTAGATTTCTCTTCCCTTATGGGCAACACACAACTATTTCTTCAACACTCCAAAACATTTCTGGTGAGAGCAAGAAGTGTTTTTCTTAAATTCATTAAGAAGTTCACGTTCATCGATTCCGACTGAACTACAAATGAATGCGGAAAATATTCACTTTCAGCGTCCTTGTTTACCCTGTTCAGCCAGCAGAATTGCTTTCAAATTTGACATCAGTTGTCTGGTCATGATTTTAGGCAAATATTGTCCTCTGTTCCCCAAATTTTTGTTCTTCATTAAACGGAGATGGGTTCTACTAACTATCTCTACGATAATTTAGCAGAACCCAACCGCCAACCATAGATAAACAATTTTACAATAATTTACTTCCAGCCTATAACAATTTTTCATTATGTTCAAATAATTGGTTTTTGTTATCGTAACCAGTAGACTAGAATAAACATGTCAAAAAATGTTTTTCGAAATTTTGAATTTCCGACAATTGTAATTTCATTTCAGGCTCCTTTATCAACTATTTGAACAAATTTTGCTTCTCATTCAAACTGCATACTCAAGTGGTTGTCACAGTCAAAATTCTTTGAGCAAAATTAACTTCCTGTTCTGCTACCTCAATCGTTAAGCTGGCCGAAGAAGTTATAATCTACCCTTATCGTTTGTGCCTGAGGTAATATTTGCGCCAATTGAAGAGCAAACCATCGTTTAATAGGTTGATGAACAACTCCAAATAATTATAAAGTTATCACAACAGTTGAGCTAATAGGACCAACCAATTTTTTTAAAAAAGAAAACATTTAGAAAATCGGCAACAGACCAAAATCAACCTAAATCGTAGTCCTATTCGACCAAGTTTGTTTATGTTTTGAAATCCATGGTTCTTTCATTGAATGAAGACCAAAAAATCGGGGAAGAAGTACGAAATCACCCTAAAATTAAAGTTTCAACTGAAAATTTGTGTTGAATACCGAAGTGGTTTGCCTAGCATAGTAGAGGTTTCTTTTTAAAAAGACAGTTTTTCATTGGTAAATTTACAGATGTCACAGAATATTACGTTTTTTTTAATTACTTGAACACATTTTTAAATCGAGCCTTACCACCTTGCTTACCACAGTATTTTGCAGCAATGCAAATCATCCAGTTTATGAATTATTCAATTATAAAAAATTACTTTTTTATTCATATCTGCGACGTCTTGATAATTCGAATAGTTTTGATTAAGCAGAGGGATTTTACACTGACATCTTTACTCGATTATGCAACATTATTGTTGGCTTCGATTATGAAACATACTTTGGCAACATTTATAAATATATAAACACATAAAAATAAGTATACAAATAAGTCTGTAAGGGTCGAAAATTCACCATTTCTCGCAAAACGGACAGTTCTCTCGGAGACCGCCGTAGATATAGGAACGACGCGAAATAAGTTAATTTTTATCACAAAACTTATTTATAGATAATAAATACTGAGGTATCCGTTACTAGTTCTCTCAAGGCACAACGGTTGTAACAATTTCACCTTCACTATTCTTTTTACGTTGAACGAGCACGGGGGTTTTGGGAATAGAATCCGGAATCTCCGACTCCCTTATTGTGACTCTCGCTCGCTGAGGAGTTAGTAGTTCAGATTTAGGACGTATCTCTACCCCATCTGGTTCACTATTGTAGCCGTTCTGTTGCAACTCTTCGTCTTCTTCGCTGTCTTCTTTGGTCAGCTCCGGGTGAGCTAGCGGGGTGAATGATTTGAGCAAGACTGTATCATCTTTGGTTTTGCCGTTTTGGCCATTTATCAATGGTATGTTTTCTGGAATGTTCGAATTTCTATTAGCTTTATCGTTCGTGGCTGAAATACTCAGTTTACTCAGAGGTTTCATCTCCTCCCCGAGAGAGTTGGGAATGTCACGTTTTTCCTGTCTTCGCTTAGATCGCCGACCTTTTACAAATGCTATAACGAATAATACTGCTAAAAATAGTCCGACTCCGACGATAGCATAGACGGCAGTCGAGTCTGAAGGTGCAGCAGATGCTCGTTCCAACTCCCCAGTCCTGGTGCCGTGTCCAATTTCTTCCACGTCTACACTTTTGTCCGACTGCCTGTCAAGTTTTGTTTCCGTTTCCTTCAGGATCTTTGGTTCTTTGATTGGGATTTGTGCTTCGGTAAAAGCTACTGGAGCAGATGTGGTCGTGACAGTTGTTTTGCTGGTAGTTGAACTGGTTGCTACACTGGAGGTCATTGCAGGGTGATCCTCAAACAAGTTGATATCTTGGAAAAGTATCCGAGCCTGATCGATGGCACTCGGAAGTGGTGATGCAAATTCTTCGTCGTTCTCTCCAACTGGTCCTGGGGTGGAACAATTTTCTATACATCCAATGACGCCAGTATCTGGGAAAATGCCAAATCCACTTCCTTCGTTACCACTTCCTTCTTCCTCCTCTACTGCCTTGTCATCTATAATGGTGTTGTCCTCTATTATAACGTCATCTTCCTTTTCTTCGACGAAAGGAACTTTGTATATTTCGGTATTCACGGATTCGTCGAAAATGTCTGCATCGCCTGAACCTTCCTCTGGCTCGTCGTAGACCATGATATCATCTATTGAGCAATTAATAGCGGTTATATCTTTCCCGATATATTTGTTCGGAGAATGACACGTTACCGATTCTGGCACTGAAACACCGCTCTTGATCAGCCGGTCGTAACTCAGTACATTGTTACAATCACAGTCTATCGGGTTCTTATACAGGTGCATCTTTTTGAGATACTTGAGTGAAATCCAGTCTCTGGGAATTTGTGTGAGCAGATTATGAGATATATCTATTTCTTCTATGTTCTGTGGCAAAGCGGTTAGATTGATAGCTTTCAGATTATTCGCTTTCAAAATTAACGTCTTCAAGCTATTCAGCGAAGGAATGGAAGAAATCTGAACATTATTGTGGGATAAGTCTAGGTAACTCAAATTTTTGAGATATTTCAGTCTTGGATCCACCTTGTTTACGGCTGCATCAGACATCTTCAAATGAACAATAGTACGGAACTGCTTTTCGCTGAATTTGGTCAAGAAGTCGAAAGAAGATGTGTCTAGGTAGCCTTCTAACGTTTGGCAGGGCGTTCCTTCAGGGCAGTGATATATTGAAGCACCGAGAGCTGTCTCTAGGACTGCGACTATGACAAGAACCTCTTTCCACATTTTGGTTTTTCTGAAACAAAAAAGATACGTTTCAGATAACAATCTGGTAACATTTTCAAGAAATTGAAACACTTCATATCGTGTACCTATACTCTTCAATATAACCAAACATTTTCACTTGGTTTCATTATAAACTGTCTATAGATATTTGTTTACATTATTATTAAACTTTCATTATTCTTTCTTTCAAGGAACAGAAGTGAATAAATCAAATCTCGTTGTGGTTGAACTACAAATATTCCAACTTGAACAATCCCAAACTGCTACTGATTCAGAACCAAGGTGGTATATCACCGATTGGAAAAGATTAATTCGAGATATATATTTCCCAGCAATCACCCTTAAGACATATGAATTTGAATTTAATGAGCCTCTTGCATGTAATATATTAGGTACACAATTTCATGGATGTATTAATAAAATAGAATATATTCAAGGTTCATAAATAAACTGATAATATACAGGCTGATTCACGGTGGATGGCACATTAGACGTTTCTGGTGAACCAGACAACGGATCACTTTGAAAATTTAATGGAGGGCATATTCGGACATTCTCTAGCCAACTAAAATATTTTCGACAATGCGGTGTTG